TAAGGTCTCTAATATCTCCCACGCCACGGTAAATGACGTATTTCAATAGCTATAAACAGCTAGATTGCGAGCTATTACTGAACTGAATATCATTTTGAATGGCCATAATTTCACAATTATTGAGACAAACACAGGTGCAACAATGTGCCATACAAGATTTTCCTCGTTGTTACAAAACCTTACAACATAAAAAGAATACAAATATAAAATATCTGCACTGATGACAGTTTGTGACATGGAACCAACATCCAGGTTCATATCAATCCTAGCTATACAGGGTGTCCCCAAAAAAACGAAAACTATTGAAGTCACCAATAACAATTTAATTGTTAGAATTTGAATGCCTTAGCACTCTGTTGGTTCCCACGAGTGCATAAATTATTCGAAGGGCATTTCACTCCAAAAAAGCGTACGGGATTTTCGGATTTTTAAAAATCCGCGGATTTTTTAGCGGATTTTTCCCGGATTTTTTAGCGAATTTTTGAAGAGAAAATCTATTGGATTTTCCGGATTTGTTTGGATTTTCCCGATTTGTTCGGATTTTTTCCGGATTTTTTGACGAAGCGTACAGGATTTTCGGATTTATAAAAATCTGCGGATTTTTTAGCGGATTTAGCGGATTTTTCCCGGATTTTTAGCGGATTTTTGAACAGAAAATCTGTTGGATTTTCCGGATTTGTTCGGATTTTCCTGATTTTTTGACGAAGTGTACGGGACTTTTGGAATGAAATGCCCCTCGAAATGATTGACATCAGTAAATTTTATGCATAAAGAAACTATTTAGGAAGCTGCTTTAAATTCCCAAGAGCAGAAAATCGCGCACTTTACAAGTCGGAGGAAGAATATAGTCTACACGTGTAGATCGAAACCACTATTTATAAGGAGAAAATGTTCTCCAGTGAGATATTTCATCATTTCCAGACCGCGCAAGCAGACCGCTGAACTCTGCCCGCCGCAGCAGTGTTCGCGGGTTCGAAAGTGATGAGTGCCACCGCATCTTGTGGTACGAAACTAACAATATTAATAAAGATGCCTAGTACTTTAGTAGTTGGAATTTATTGAGTCGTTGCACTTTTATGCTCTGGGTATCCATTGAGCATTTTGCCAAATGTTTTGTAAACAACGAACCATTGTTTCCGAAAAAAAATGCTGAATCATAAATTGTTTCCCAAGAAAATGTTGGTACATTGTTTCCCAAAAAAATGTTGACACATTGTTTCCCAAAAACATATTGGAACAGCAATTTCAACCATTTTTCTTAGCTGGACACAATGCCAATGGAAATTTTTTTTAAGTAAAGATTAAGTTAGTAAAGGGAAATTAGATACTATATCAAAAGCTCAACAACCATCCACCTCACCTACAGCTCTGCAAACTTTGCTGCTCTAAAGAGTCTGCAGCTCTACAACTCTACAGCTTTATAGCTCTACAGCTTTACATCTCTACAGCTTTATATCTCTACAGCTTTATATCTCTACAGCTCAACTGAAAGTGTCAGAGACTGACGAGAAATTGTATATTTGATACAACAAGGGGCGTAAATCCTGGGACTTTAATGGTCATTTGTTGAAAAGTAAATAATATCTAAGTTATAGAAAATACTGCCTGAAAAACATAAACATTTTAGGAAAAATCACGCCACTTCCGATTTTTGTTTTTAAACTAATTTGACTCGAAAAAAAACGGTGACCCCCACTTCTTATTTTTTCAAACGTTTTTAATTAGTGAAGATAATTAATTAGCTAACTTTTAAAAAAATTGCCGGGTAGAATATTTTTAATTGCAAAAAATACGTTTATTTAATTTTAAAAATTCTACAGTGGCAATTTCTTTAAAAGATGGCTAAATAATTATTTTCACTAATCGAAAACGTAAAGTGGAGGTCATGGTTGTTTTTTCGAGTAAATTAGTTTAAATTAAAGCCAAAAATCAGCCATATTGAAACGTTATTGTTAGCAACGGCAGTGACGTTGTTTTTGGTAAGAAAATTCATACTTTTCAAGTAGTATTTTCTCTAGCTCAGATATTATTTGTTTTTCAACAAGAGTAACAATAGGCTAATGCATAATGACGTCACAAGGCCTGATGCCCGCGAGGAATGCTGGTTTTAGTAGTCATTGCCAGGATCGAAAAATTAAACAATTAAAAATGGCCGCTATCAAAATTTTCCTGGTTGATAACTACTATTAAAGACCAGCATTCCTCGCGGGCATCAAGCCTTGTGACGTCATTATGCATAAGGTCTATTGGTCAAAAATTCCGTCCTAAATCGTAAATTTTCCAAATACAAAAAAAAAAGTTTTGTATTAGAGGCTGGCTATCAGGGCTGATTTGTGACACGAGAAGATTTAAATTAACTTAAAGTTTTTACATTTCCCTTGCTCATAGTTTCCAAATTTAGCTAAGAATTGCCACCTGTGTCTGTCACGATCACATGGTGTCAACATAGCATCGTTTAACACTATTAAAGTTTTTATTCAGATAGTTGTATCATATTTGCTCTAGTAATTACTCAGGATCTCTGGCTCCTGCAGCTTCCACTTTGTTGACGGCTGTCCCCTGACGAAACATTCTCGGAATTCCTTAAATTGATGACGCTGTTTGTAACCTTGGTAAATTATTTTACGTATTTCCTTCTATTCACTACCTATGGCTATAAATAGTCACAACCACCAAATCTATGTTGATCACAGGGTTTCCTCCATGCAAGCACGCATTGATACATTTAAATCAAGTTTTAGAATATTTTAATAATTAGCGGCATCTCTGGTAGACTTGCTACAAATTGACTCGTATTATTTAGCTGCGAGGTTAGCGATCACCCATTGCCCATGGCATTGGCTTTACTCACTCACTCGTTTGTCGTTTCACTCCTTACAATGCAAGACAAGTTACAATGTGTTAACTTAGACAGTAAGTCTACATCTTTGGTTAACATCTTGTATTTTAGTGACTGCATGGATGTATAATTATAAAGGTAGAACTTTGTCTTTAAGATGCTTGATGCGAAACGGTGCATGTCGGTGGATCTTGATCTGATATATATACTCACCTCAACTACTCAAGCTGGATTTGAATTCGCATATTCAGCAGTCTCAGCAAACGGGGCTGACGCTCTATCAAATTATGGCTCTGAAATAGAGTTGACTGATATACTTGTACTTCTTCCATCAATTACTATCCAAAATGAGTAAATCAAGGTCACTCAATGTACCTCAATTCAGGATACTTTAAATACGTACATTAGTCAATATTACATTGCTGGCTAGATGCATCTTTTTCCATATGTGTAACACTCATGATTTTATATATTCCATGCATATCACTGAGTCTAAGACAATATTAACAAATATATCATAAGGCTATAGTAATTGTACTGTAGTCTGTAGTCTGTAGTCTGTAGTCTGTACACTATGTATTAGTACAGAACGAATCTAACCCAAAAATAGGGCGGGTTTTATTCATGACATAATGCATGGAATATATTTTAGAAGTACGATTTTTGGAATAGAAACTTGAAAATGTTTATAAATGACCTGACTTCAATCTACTTTTTCGATGCTCGATTTGCATGCAAGATGATTTTTGAAGCAGTATAATGCAGCAACTCAATTAGAGATTTCAAGATTGACGTTTTAACCCAAAAAGCAACATTCAAATCGTAGTTTGTCAACCAGTGTTGGCTGTTTTGAGCTCGGGCGATATGTGCATTAAAATTGAAGTATGAATTAGCTACTTAGCAGTAGAAAACATATAGAACGTTTGTTCAATTTCCGTTTTCGAAGTTTGCTGTTTGCACCTTAGCTACATTGATTAGGCTTATATAGTCTGTCGCATGCACAGGGCGGCTGGACGCATTTTTCCAGTCAATAAAGTCAGCGAACAAAAGTCTTTTTTATTCCATCAATGTTATGCATTGGAATAAAGTAAGGTTAGTTTACCACTTTACCTCTCACTTTTTTTAAAGACCCTTGACATTCCTGGCGTTTATGCTCAGATAATCTGTATATAGATGCTATATTTAGCTGCGCGTTGCCTAAAGGGAAATCCTAAATAATGGGACTAGCAGATGTTTTAACTATATGAACGACAAAAATAGCAAAAGTATATCCTTAAATTAGATCACTGTATAAAAGCGTGCCAGACGTATGCCAGTATTTAACGCCTGTTGAGTGATAAAATCATCTTTGTAATTGCTAGCAAGAGCTTCCTGCTCAGCAGTTTGGACATACACTTGCACGTTATACATATCATGCATGGGTATTAAATTCTGACTGCCGAAAGTTTGGTAACATCTGTGTAATTTGGCCGATTTGGACGTCTGAAACTAAAGTTCGTATATGTTTATGATTCAATCTTTAACTTAGAATCACACATGCATGTGTTTGTATTATTATATTCATACAAATTATCATGGTTTGCTTGTCATGTCTGATGAAAGTTAGTTCGAAGTCTCTCTTGAAGGCTCTTTACTTTCTTGCCAAAGTTGTGTGTACATTCTGATTCTGTATGTGTTGTAAAGAAAGAAAGAAAGAAAGAAAGAAAGAATGAAAGAATGAATGAGTGTATTTTATGTCCTCATACTCATAGACTATGTCATAGATAGAACTACTCTTTAAAAGACTAGGCCAACTTGATTTACACGATGAAGGAATGAAAGTGTTGTGAAATCTGTTAGTTTTAATAAATGGAAGTTCTCAAGTACTAGTTCATATGTTCCTGGGAATTTTAAATATATTAAATATTATCCGCTGCACTTTGGTTTTTTGTTATTGTAGATACAACTCCAATGACGCTTTAACCATAGCAAATCGATCTGAATTTTATGTATTATACCTTTGCTGTTTCCAAATTATTAATACTAGTATCTTCCTCCTCCTCCCCAGCCCCAAACAGTATTGATTGTAATCGCCATGTAATCGTACTGGGAAGTTATTTGGTAATATATGCATCACTTCATTGTCTAGTTGAATTGTTTTTTTCAATTTTTTCAATTTCAGACTACGATGAGAAATTTACTGTTAATTTCTGGAATACTTTTAACACTTCTGAGCACTGCCGCTGGCACCAGTGACAGTTGTCCCGAGTTATGCGACAAATCAAAATGCGAGGAGCCGGTGATTAGTTGTGACAGCGGTGTATTTGTAAAAGATGAGTGTGACTGTTGTGATGTTTGTCTGCGGTCTCGTAATCAAATCTGTGGAGGACTTCATGCAAGATTTGGTAAATGTGAGTCGGGTTTGGAATGTGTAAATGATAACAATGAAGCTTTCATGAATGACGAAGACAGCGACAGGGAAGAGGAAGAAGATGACGTCATTGGGGTGTGTCAAGGTTAGTATAAGGACTTTATTTTAAGCACAGTTGATGGAATAAACATGATTTGGCATAAATTCGGCAAATTTTCGAAGCGGTTAACAACATGACTCTAACTCATGTTGGAAAGTTCTTCAACGTGAATAATATACAAATAATTAATGTTTACAAGGCAATGGTAAGAATATTTTCATGAGGTGAAAGATGCCCGGAATTTTTCATTCCCACGAGTCGACAGCTGAGAATGGAAAATTCCATCTTTCGCGAATGGAAATATTTTTATTATTGCACGAATGAAAACATTCATTATTTGTTTATACGACATCAAAATACTGAAATTGTATCGAATTTTTAAA